ATAGTTTTTATAGTCAGCAGCGTATATTTAAGACTGATTACATAAACAAAAGTACAAAGGTAAGTAAATTAAACACGGTCATGTGGTTGTGTCCATTAAACATTTACATTATAAACAAAAGTTGTATCATAAATGGTCAGAAATATTTTTCTTTAGAGTTATAATTCCATTGATAAGACATTGAGGTACTCACCATTTTTCAAATTATTGATCAATTCTCCAAGAAAATCTGAACAGCGCTCATTGACTACGTAATTTACCGTTGGAGAATACTGCTCTCCTTCAAACCGATCATATATCTCTTCCCATTTAAACACAGTAAAAATGTGCTACTGCACAGTGTTTTGCAAAGAATTGTATCAATTAGTGAACTACGTTAGATTATTTTTTTAAATCCCAACTATACAGAGTGTCCCAAAAATACTTAGCGGACTATGCAGACCCGGATTCTACATATGAAAATCAAGAATAACATTTTTCTCAAAATCACTTCGTTACCCAGATATCAGCCATTTTGTATTTTTAACATAAACATTTTTATCTTTGCATATTTCCAACATAACTTTATGAAACTTTTTATGTAGGTTAAGGTGGATTAGACCCATACGAAAAAAATATCTTGATCCGATACAAAATTTCAAAATGGCGATGATTTCAATTTTTCATCAAATCAGCCATTCTTTAGTAATTTGAAACAACAAAATTAAAATTTCCGCCATTTTGAGATTTTGTAATGGATCAAGATATTTTTTCTCACATGGGTCTATTCTACCTTCACCAACATACACATTTTAATAAAGATCTGTTGAAAAAAATCAAAGATAAAAATGTTTATGTTAAAAATACAAAATGGTTTCTCGGTATCTGGTCAACAAATTTGTTTTGGGGAAAATGTTATTCTTAATTTTATTCTAATTTTTGTATGTAGAATGCGGTTCAGCATAGTCCGCTACGGACTTTTGTGACACCCTGTATCCTACACAGTAGTTACTAGTCAATAGTAGTCAATAGTAATCACTATTGAAACTAAACTAGCTGTTACCCACAGGCTTCGCCCCGTTTGACATCACAAGTATTAATAAAACTATTGATTGGTTAAGTTAACCTGAAATAAACAAAATACAGTAAAATAAACAAATAATCACACCTGATTTTAATAAGGTAATAAATTGAAAGAATAACAAACAAATAAGTACAGCTGAGGTATTTTTAACATTAGGTATATGAAAAGTTCCCTTTAGAAAGGAATTACGACCTTAAAGGGCAATTTATGACATAATGGATAATTTTGCGCAAGGTTTCTCGACATGACGAACATTTTAAGTATATGGTTTATGGGGGTGTGACTTGTAGTTTTCTCAAAAGTTCATGGGTACTTTTGGCTTTATATATAGATAATTGCTGATTACCCTACTCAACAACTGGCCATTCTACAAAACGTATAATTATTATAAATTCTTATTTTGCATTAGCAAAGAAAGTTACTTTTTCAGTTTAAATCTTTATATTTTGGTTTTTGTTTTGATCTATTCTGTAAAGATTTAAGAGTAAAGTCATTCTACAATGAATCCTATACATTTCGTCTTTCCCTTGGTTTGCAAATAATTCAACAACACATTTTTCTCTGTCAACATCTGCAAAGCAAGTCCACGCAGTGTGAAAAATTGCAGAATATTTAGTTAAAACTATTCGACAAGGGTAATTTTCCTTCATTCACAGTTTGAATAATTCGTAGCTAAAACTAATTTTAGTTTATTGTCGTGTTAATAAGTTAGTTATTTATGCCTTTTCAATATTCTTTGCTGATAAATTTCTCACATTTCTTCAAAATAAATATTGATAAACGTTATAAAATTGTGCCTAAAAAAGAACGTATATATTCCTAATACATATGCTATTTTATTTGTATAATAACTTTAGATATTAGATGTATTTATATTAAATTGAATAGCTTAACCATTGAAGACAAATTTGTAATTATTTTTGTAAGTGTCAGCGTATATAAAATGCTTGGTAGAAACACCATGAATGTATACAACGATACCCCTGGAACACAATGGGTTTTTAATTGTTCAATATGCTTCCGTATGATTTAGTTAAATACACCAAAAGAGTAACGAAAATGGACAAATATTATATATCAATGCATAGCCTATGTAAATAACTGAACGCACGATGATTTCTTTAATGTTACCTAATTTTCCTATAATTATTTTAAAAGAGAAATCTACTGCCCGTTAATAATTTCTTAAGCTTATCCCGCTATTATAAGAATCATTGTAACAATCAGTATAAATTAAACGCTTTAAGGACACGTTTTGGGGTGTTTCACGTGTGGGGGGTTATGTGCTAGTGTTATAAACTTTTATAATTACGTATCAAAACACACACATACTAGTATTTAAGGGATTTGGAAAAAACACACACAGAGTAAATTTTAGGCCTTAATCTCTAGAAGTTTAAACGTAATTTATCCTAACATAAGGACTAATATCGTACAATGGTGGCAATACGTTAAATTATAGGCCTACCATACAAACTTAATACAAATGCTTCATAGAATCGGGATATTCTTTTCGTTGTTTCATATATATAAATATATATTCCTATATATTTATTTTCATCCCGGCGTTATTCTTATCTTCTCAAGTTTATAAAAGTGTTGCTGTCTTTTAGGCTTTATTGTAATTCATGTAATATTTGTATATTTATCGATTTCCCTCTACTAATACTTTTTTCCACAGTTTAAATTATATAATTTCCAGATAATTCCATGATGATTTGGGTTATTAACCAAATATTTTTTATATCAGCCTATCAGATGCACAGGCAGCTCTTGCCTATGCCTAGTCTGCTGATTCCAAGAAATAATTTTGAATGAAGTAATTCAGAAATGTAATTTTTATTTTAGTTACAAATAGTATATTTATGTAATATACTATGTTTTTAAAAGTAGACTATGTTTTTTACTTATTCATCTATATTGAGTTCAATAAACATATAAGCATTTTCACTCATTCATTCAATTTCCTGAAGAAGGTTATGCCTACACTACGTTGTTCCTGTGTCGTAATTTGATCCGTGAAAAGTATAAACCAGATTTATAATGAAATCTTAAATATAAAGCATACTACAACATCCATAATTTATTAATATGTCCCGGTCAATTTAACTATTGAAACCGACAGGTGAAAATGTGTTGAGGTTATATTCACAATAACCTATACAACTATAATATTGCAATAACCATCTTTAATCCCTAAAATTATTGTTATACTCCAAAAATTTTATTTTCTACAAAGTAAAAAATGCAAATTACAACAAACAAAACACAATTCTTACCTTTTTGAGTGTAGAACGCACGTTTGAGTTCAGGAGGAGAAAGTAGTGGCAGGCGGGGAAATAGAAGATCACAGACTGAGAGACGGAATCAAAAATAGATCTCAGAGTTGGTACATAGGGCATCGGCCATGCCCTGACTGACTTTGCCCCTCCCCTTGCGTTGTGTGACACCATCATCACAAATCATCAATCATCAACAACAATAATAATTGTGATCATCATCCTCGTTGTCAACAACCCTATCCACCATTGATATCATCGTCACCACCTAACAATAAAAAATCTTAATTGTGTTGTCATTGTTATTACAAATAGTCATTAGTATCATCATCATCATTGTTATTATAAAAAAAAACCATACGATGAAATCATCATCATTATCATCGTAGTGTTTGTCGTCATTATTATCGTGATCAGAAATGTTCACCGGTATTATCACCATCACAAATCATCATCATAAGTCTTTGACTTCATTATTATCGTCATCAGAAATGTTCATTGTCATCAACACCATACTCATGAATCATCATCTTCATAACCATTGTCACAAATCGTTGTTGTCAAATGCATAAAAACACCAGTCTTCCTCATTGCAATAAATAAACTGTCGTCGTCTACGTCATCATTTTGCCATCTCCGTAGTCTCACAATACTAATTCATTTGTACGTTAGAGTTGTTTATATGTTTTACCGTACGATGCTTTTCAAGACATTCCGCTCGAGTACGTAATTTACATGTTGAATTGGCTAGTAAGGCGTATGACCAAATCTACAATTTATATTTACGAGTATTTTCATTCACCGTAATAAAGAAGAGATAAATGTAAGAATATCCATTGAAAAAAAGTTATGGACGTATGATTTTTGTAGTTAACTGGAGATGGTAGCCATCACATACGGGATGGTTGTTAAACGAATATCCGAGGTTTCGATTTCAATCCCTACTACATTAAACCTTCTCTTAAAATAAAAAAATATATAGTAACCCAAATAGACTGACCCAATAAGTAACCCAAATATTATTCTCAAAGTTTTTTTGTTATTTTATCATTGACTATTGCATGTCAAAGTATTGTTAATTAATTGGTTAAGCATCACTATAGTAAGTAACGTGCATCTAGTTAAATTTAACTGTACCCGACCACATGGCTATATATCTTTTTTAGCATAACCTCCTTAACCATATATTTTAACTAATTCCATTGTGAGTTCTGCCTTTGAAAGCTTATAATAAATTGTAGTATATTTCTTTACTAGCGAACTCTCCAAACAAAAACAGGACTAACATAAATATTTAAACAATATTCTAAAATCTCTTAGAAAATTTGTCAAACAACTCATTTATCACCTTGGTGTTTCTTCCAGAATGAAACTCGCATTAAATATTTGTATCTGTGTGGACAGTTTATGTTGATTTTATTTTGTTTGGGGTTTTAAAAGTTTATTTTCAATTTAAGGCCAATAAAACCTTCAAACCCCAAAATGTATTAAGAAACAGTTCTTTCGTACAAAAAATTATTTTCAGTAAAAATTAACACACAAACAAAATCCACTTGTCGATTTAAGTCATAATTTTCAATGCTAAATGAGGTCAATGATTCAATTGAATTTTGAGAAACTAAATACTAAATTGTCAAGTTGAATAATTAAAAGGCCTATGATCGTAGTACATTTTATTTCAATATAATCAATACCATAAAAACATCACAGCCCTACACAGGCACTCTTAAAAATTAATTTGTATAGAAATATTTACAGTATTTACATAAATAAACATCTTACACAACAGTGGTAAAAGCTGCACACATTATTGCTTGTTTATTCACAACAATTTTTAACAATCGATAATACGTTAATTTAAAGATTTATAATATTTTTACAATCAGGATGGGCAGTAAAATTTGAAGACCTATTTTGGAATATTGTTTAACATTAAATTGAGTAAAAAACAATAAAATTAAACGTAAAAATCTTATATAACTTTTAATAAAGCTGTAAATAATTTACTAACCTAAATAATAATAATATGCATTTCTTAAGAATTTTAAATATCAGGATAGAAAATAACTATGCTAACAGTTAACAATAAAACTAAATATTTACCTAGCATACTATCACATTTATTTTATATTTACATAAATCCTTAAATACTTTTGAACAATCACCGAATGTTTAATTGTTTTATGGACTTCATTAATTGATTAACTAATTGGTAGAAGAGTGAACTCTCTCTGTAGACAGTTTACATTAAAATTAACAAAAATCCAACTATTAATTATTACATACTTTATTATTATTTTTTTTTAATTAAACTCATACTTAATCAATAATATGATAAATTTGCAATAAAGGAATAATTTAGGAAATTATCTACAAATGACTAGCCTATGAAGGAAATATTGTTGACGATGCTAATTTTACACCAACCGTGCATACACGGCTAAAAATGTTCAAATGAGAGGTTTGGTTTTTGACTAACTATTTTATATGAAATTATTTTAAAACACATTAAGAACAATTTATAAACTGACGTTACTTTGGAATGTACAAAGTTGTAATATTTTTTTCATATTAGATGCAAAGATTGGAACCAAAAATAATAATTAAAATACTATCACTTAAAAAATTTCTAAAAATCCTAATTCTTAGAATATCACTTTTAAATCGCATTTTACGTTTAGACTTCTTTATGAGACATCTACGCGAAGAACTTAAGGTAGATTTCGTGGACGCTGGTAGTCACTCCGATCGTAAACCCAAGGATGGCTATGAGGACGACGACGAAGTTCTTGAGGAAGAAGAGGAGTTTTCCAAAGCCTCGGTAGAAGTCCCAGAAGGTCAACATCTGGATGAGCGCCGGGAACGATAGACCCATGGTTGACAAACAGAAGGCGCCGATGAGAGAGATGAACAGCTCAAGATTGGGGATGGCCACGGCGAACAGGACTGTAAAATGTTAACAAGATCTTTAGGTTTGCTGCTTCAGGGAAGGTAATAAAGTTTGTTGATAGCTTAGTAGGAAATAAATATGTTTGCTAAATTAGATCAAAATATATTGATACACAAGCGAACTACAGCAGTTATCCAGTTATTTCTTATAATTATTCTCTATAAACACAGCATTAAAATGTTAATGTATAATTTGATTTTTTATTTTCTTCGCAATTATATAAACAAAGCAATCATTCAATATACAAAATAGTTTTTTTTTTACAAAATGGCATAAAATAAATTAAGGAATGTTATATTTAGAGGGTCGAAAATAGGAAATGATTGGTTTTTACCTCCATGAAACCCCCGCATAAAATCCCATAGCACGGTCATGTTGGTTCAAGAACGTGTCCGAATAAACGTAGGTTTACAAGATGTACAAAATTTCATCAAACTCAGATGATATTTGTTTGAGTTATCGTGTTAACGTAAATTTATACATATGAATTTGAACGGATGTTGATTTCGTCCTCTGGATGCATAAAAACCAAAAGGAAATCTGTCCTGCGTCTGAGTCTTACCCCGAGACCTACAGCAACAGCTAATAGGAAAATTCATTGATAAATAAATGCCTTGGAAATGAAAGTCAAATGTATGACATCACTACTTCATGAAGGGGAATTAGTAAAGTATGTTTAATAAAGTTAATTGGCTAATATAACAAAAATGAATTATATTTATCAAAGGTTAATCGTTGAGTGTAAATATTTCTACGCCTTTCTAGCTAGAATACTACACGCGTCACTACTAAGCGGCTGGACGGTCGTACGAAATATGAAGGCTCTTTTTATCTGCGTATAACGAGTGTTATAGCTTTAGTTAGTAACCGTGTGTTTGAAACTTTAATAAGTAACAATAATTAAATTTAAAACCATTTAAATCAATCAAATACCTATATTGCCAATATCCAGTCCCCCAAACAACAGTTAACAAAACCTGACAGGTCATTGTTTAACTCAGTTTATTAAAAGCATAATTAATTTGTAACCTTTAAAATTTAACTAAAATAACCACACAACGCCATATATCACCATTCCGTGGTGACATGACCGTAAAATGTTATCACAAAAAGTATTATGAAAAGATTTTAAGGCAATATCTTGTAAACGTTTATGAAAAGTTCAGTAAAATATTTTACATTGAAGACGGACTTGCTTCTTGGTTCATAGCACAATTTATGGGGTTTCTATGCAAAACTTTTATACTCGAAGCTGCATTACATATCAATTTGCCTAAGGGTAAATTGGGTTCATAACCTAATTATGCATTAGTGCAACAGTTCTTTTGATAGGCCGGAGAACGTGTTCGTTGTGTGGCAACGTCGCACCGGCCGGCCTATTTTCATTGTAAGAGCAGTAATAACAAACTTCAAACAATTAGTGCAGTAAAAATAAGAGAAAAATTCCATAAACCTAAAAAAAATTAGCACAACTGGGGAATTTGGTACAGATGTTGGGTGTACCTTCCTTTTGAACATACTAAAAGTCCCCGAAAATTGAAGCTGTGCTACGGCCGCCATATTGGAAAATGGCGGCATATTTCTGTATTTTTCGCTATAGTGACTTTATTATTAGAGATACAGGAAAAAGCTAAATATACAAAATGTAGGTCATCTAACAATACACATTTTTTGTATTTACCATCTTTCTCTAAACCCAACGGTTTTTGAGTTATTTGTTATTAAGTATTGATAGTTTTTTCTATTTATCAAAAATAGGTGAAACACATGGAAATTGACCGTTACTTTCAAGACTATGATAATTTATCCTATTTAGTTAAATAGTGTGATACTATAAAATCTTAAAATTTTAGCCTATTTTATGAGTAAAACAACTCTGCCACAGCAAACCTGCAGACTCAGCAAATTTCCTTTTGATTGGATGTTTTATTAATTGTATTTAAATAAAATCTGATTCAACAGGTACCTAGGTTTGCTGCTACAGGTAGGTTATTATAGTGTGTTTTTTTTTAGTAAAATATCAATAACTTAGAATAAAATAATTAATTTTCCAAGTTTGATCATAATAAATCTATAAACAAACAAACTGCAACAGTTAACTAATTCATAATAATAGCATGGTAGTTTAAGATTTACAATTTACAAATTTAAATATAAAAATTTTGGTTGTGTTTACTAAAAATATGGCGATTATTCGTCACGATTCGAATACTAACCGAAGGGGTTTTCAAAAGGAGATGAAGCAAGTAATTTAAGTACTGTAATATTAACTCGTACCAAGTATCGGAAATATTGTATGGAGTGAGGAAATCGACCATATTTTGTAAACTACGCAATAGTCATACAGTATTAATATTTTATACTCATTTGTACCCATTTAATAAATTAACATTTTAATATTTTGATGGCACTACCACTATCACTCTGATATCAACTAAGTGGGATGAATAATTGTCGTAAACCTTGAAAGTAACCGTCGATTGCGATGTGTTTCACCGATTTTTTATAAATAAAACTAACTATACCATGCTTAATTAGTCACCAACATGAACTAGACACGAAAAACACCCTTCCAAATTTACGATGGGATGTCAAGTATAGTTAGTTAGTGTGGTGGTGCCATCAAAATACTAAAATGTTAACTATTAAATGGATAAAAAATTAAGATAAAATATTAATATGACTATTGCGTACTTTACAAAATATGGTAGATTACCTTACTGCATACAATATTTTCGGTGCTTGGTACGAATTAATATTAAATAATATTAAATTAATATTAATATTAAACTTAAATAACAGGCTCCATCTCCTTTTGAAAACCCATTTGGTTAATATTCTAATCGTGACGAATAATCACCATCTTTTTAGTAAACACAACCAAAATTTGTATGTTCAAATTTGTTTATTGTAAATTTAAAACTCCCATGCTATTCTTATGAATTAGTTAACTGTTGCAGTTTGCTTGTTTATAGATATATTTTGATCAAACTTGGAAAATTAGTTATTTTATAGTAAGGTATTGATATTAAAAAAAAAACACACTATAATAACCTTCCTGTAGCAGCAAACCTAGGTACCTGTTGAACCTAATTTTATTTATATACATTTTTTAATAAAACATCCAATCAAATGGAAATTTGCTGAGTCTGCAGGTTTGCCGTGGCGGAGTTGTTTTACTCATAAAATAAGCTTAAATTTTTAGATTTTATAGTATCACACTATTTAACTAAATAGGATAAATTATCAAAATCCTTGAAAGTAACGGTCAATTTCCATGTGTTTCACCTATTTTTATAAATAGAAAAAACTATCTATACTTAATAACAAATAACTCAAAAACCGTTGGGTTTAGAGAAAGATGGTAAATACAAAAAATGTGTATTGTTAGATGACCTACATTTTGTATATTTAGCTTTTTCCTGTATCTCTAATAATAAAGTCACTATAGCGAAAAATACAGAAATATGCCGCCATTTTCCAATATGGCGGCCGTAGCACAGCTTCAATTTTAGGGGACTTTTAGTATGTTCAAAAGGAAGGTACACCCAACATCTGTACCAAATTCCCCGGTTGTGCTAATTTTTTTTGGGTCAAAACATATTTTTACTGTACTAAATAAACATGCGCACAAGCTCCATTATGATCATTGCAACAGCTGTTTCGGTAGGCCGGCGCTGCGGCGTTGCCACTTTTGTCTCGCCACGGCCTTTTAGAGGAGAATAAGAAGTAATCTAATCTACAACATATCTTGGGATACTTACAAGTGATCAGCACCAGCACTGTCCTAGTGACGTATTCCCACACCAGTTTGTTGCCGGTCACTTTAGGTTTGAGTTTCTGATGCCAGATGATATCAAAGGCGACGTAGCAGGCCAGGCCGTGTGTGATGAAGATGGCGGCGGCCAGCATCAGCTTGGCGGACTGCGCCAGTCTGAGACAAGGAAAGATGGAATTGGATTATTTGGATCATATGTTGAATTTATAGGTTGATAGAATATCCTGACCCTTCGTCTGTTATTGGCCAAGGCCCGGACCAGTCCTGGGTAGATGAAGGGTCAAAATACATGTATCATAATACAGCGCCAGTCTGAGACAAGGAAAGGTGGAATTGGATAATTTGGATCATGTTGACTTTATACTCTGATGGAATATCCTAGCCCTTCGTCCACCTCAGTCCTGGCCAATAGTTTTAAGACCCTGGCCTAGGTAGATGAAGGGTGAGAAGACATGTTTCATCATACAGACTATACTGCGAGTAGTCTACCAAATCTTGTTGTGTCTGAGATATATTATGTTTCATATTCGTCATGTTTAAGTGTACTCGAACAAATGTTTATGCTTTTTGAGGTGAATTTGACATAGTGCTTTACGTATCGGTAATATTCCCCTAGGTAATAGTGTGTAAACGTATGGCTTTGGTCAACTACTTGTAAAGTTGGTGTAGCCTGAAATAATATCGGTTCAAAATCAAATGCACTGAACATATATGGTGGATACATGCGTTAGTTATTTTTTACGGATCCAAGAACTATTCCAGTAATATATTTATTTACAAGAAACTCTTGGGATGGATATTACATTTTACTCTCTCCAAATGTCTTCCAAATGGATTTCAACTATCAGAAGCATCTCTTACTCCCCATCTACTGAAATAAACATTTTGTAAAGTGTGGTTGTGGTATAGGTTTCAGAGGCTAAACATTACAAGGGAATGAAAAATTTGAGATCATGGCCAGACCAATATAATAACATAATTACTCGTTCTATTAACAAACAAAACTGGATTTGAAACTTCTAAACTTAATTTACTAAGAAATCCACTCCATGGTCATTGAATTTATTTTTAAAAAACTACACAGATATGATTTTGTAACTGTTTATAAGTAGCAGATTGCCAAAGGTCCAACATAAGAAATCTTTCAATTGGACCAAAGAAGGAATTTCTATGTTCATTTCTAAGTAGCTATACTAAATATGTACTCACAGATGATCATTGGGCAAGTTGAGAGTAACACTTCCTTGAGCTCCCTGACCGTACTTGAGGTATCCAAAGAAGCCTACGAGGGTGTAGAGGATGGTGATGGGCAACATGGCGCAGTTGAGGACGCCGAACATGTTGCCGAACCTCTCAGGACGGTCCATCTCATTCTCTAGAGGCATTACCTGAGGAAGACAGTTATTTGAGTGAATTGGAAATGTCAGAACCTAGTCTTCTTACTACCTTCGACATTGTTGTTGGATAGCATGGTTAAATGCATCATTAACTTATGGATATTTCGTTCTCTGGCGTTTTCTAGGAATATGCAATAATGGGTCAACCGACTCTCTTAAATTCTTCGTTCCTTTTTATGATAGTGGCACATACTTCGGTGCGTAGTTTTTTTGTCCTAGGTAAACTAGGTTCTTGCCCGGGCTCGTTCTTCACATTACTTCACGCTAGACTAAGGGGTAGTGGCATTATCATTTAGATAAAATACATTAGTGATCTGGTGGGATTTGAACCCACGACCTCAGGGACTGAAGTCCTGTGATCTATCACTAAACCAGCCCCCTTCCCGGGTGCGTAGTTTAAGCTGAATGTGGAGGGTGCAGAAAATTGAGACGGTATAGGCAGCTTAGTCACTGATTAAGATAAGTGGGATCTTTAACCAGGATCATTTTAAAATTTGAATGTTCAAGGACTGCTGGGCAACGTTTCAAAGAGTCAACAAGCTAATAGTATATCTCACTGCAAATTCAACAAACTCCTCGTAAACTAATCATAAATCCTGGACTGTTCAACACTTTCTTCTAAACATACAGCACAATACAATCTTACCACTCCAATAGCCTCCATCGCAAACAGCACGGTGCCGAAGAACAGCGGCATTCCCTTGAAACTGGCCACGGCAGCGCGCTGGTCCAGCGACGGTATGTCGGTCAGCATGTAGTACGCGATGATGGCAAAGCTGATAACGGTGACGAAGTTGGCAGCTGTGCTGAATGGAGCCAGCAGCTTCAGGTTGCGGATGCAGTTGATCAGGATGAAGGGAATCAGCAGAAAACACATGTAGATCCTGACATCTATAGGCTCCACGTACTCGTCTGCAACCTATGGGAATAATAAGGTTAGGCTCGCAAATATAACCAACTAAATTAAGTATTTTATTTGAAAACCAATAATGTTCAAATCAATTATGAAGGACCAACCTATGATCATAAGTAACATTTAGCATTATGATAGTGGTTAGCTATGACTATTTCAAGTTTTCGCAACCTGGAATAGACACAGTTGTCACCTGGACAATTTTAAAGTCCACAATACGTTTTGAATTTTAAAAAGATCCAGAAGTTTTTTTAATTTAATTATTATATGACTAAGTGATAATTAAAGTTTTCGCACGACTTAACGGTCTACGTTTTATAATAAATATAAATCTATTAACTGGATGGATTGAATTTCAAAGAATTTAACACTAAACACGATTGTAAACATGAAAATGTAACTGCTTTAGAACAGTTAACTGAGAAAACTCCCTTAAAATTAGAATGTAAATCACAGTACAGAGAATGACAGTGTGATAGTTAACGTATTTATGTTTATTAACATTATATTTTTCTAGTTTAATATTTGTAATTTGGATAACTCACAGCTTTGATGTTGGATGCGACGAACACATAGTAAATACAGCAAGACCCAACTTGGTATAACATTAGGAACAGGTTGCACACGAAACTGAAAAATAAATAGTCTCAATAGCAAAGGAAGCCTTATTCTTAAACGTTATTCAACATGCAAAGTGTAATAGTAAACCAATACGCTAAACAAGACAAGCATACAAAAGTATAGCAATTCATTTTCTAACCCCTGCAAAATCATCGATCAAAAACATCTATCAAAATTAATTGTATAATCTTCCTTCTCAATTCACATTATCTTTCTTAAAGCCAGGCTCTAGTACCATGTTAATGTCTCTGGATAACAATTTACAATTCAAATATCTTAAAAACATAACTGTTACAGTAAACTAAATGTTTACTTTATTTACTTACTCAGCGTAAGGAGCCAGCCTCCTCAAAGGCTGTGGACCCTCCAACAACGCCGCTTCTAAAGTCTCAGGATAAGTCATGCTTGGCTTTTTCCTTCTTCGGCAAAGTTCATATTCAGCTGATATCTAAAACGGACAAAACCAAGTATGTGTCAAAACCAATCGCTCAAAGAACGAAATTCCAGGTGATAGACTTACTGAACTCAAGCACACTGAAGCACAAGATATTTCTCAACGAGATTTTGTAAATTAAACGCCTGCTGAACAACAATACCTCTCGCAACACGATAAAACAGCTGTTTTGCGTCGTGATCCGAAGGCTCAATAGCTTTTTTGTTTATACGTTTTTTTTCTTTATAGTCGCTTAATCAACCAAAATATACTAAAAAGACATCAAGCAAACTGAAAATTTATTTCAGGACACGATGTTTGTCACGATTTTAAAACTCGAATAAAGTTTAAGACGTCTTACAGAAATGTTTGTTAAATTACTGTATAATGGCGAGACTACTGTATTTACCAAATGCTGCTGAGGTACATAGTTAAAATGTGAATTTTATGTGCTTAAGACACCTTTGTTATCGGTTGATTCATGACTTTCCAGGTAGTGACAGATTTTTGAAAACACACACTCTTTCTAGAATAGTAAAACCATTTTCGGTCCGTGGTACAAACACTATTTTTCACCGCACTACTACTATTCACAATAATAATAATGAAAACTGATAGTCAACGCAACTTTAAGGTTATGTGAAGAAGTAACTTCAGGAATCAGCAATAATAATAATAAACAGTTGCTAGGCAACGGTGAAATAGTATATTTCGTACCTAGGGCCGAAAAAGAGGTTTTGCCGGCTCGAGATCGATCGAGAGCTGCAAAACCATTTCGGTCCGTGGTACGAACGCTATTTTTTACCACACTATACCCTATTACCACTATTCACCAATATAATAATGCACACTGATCGTCAACACAACTACAACTTTAAGGTTATGTGAAGAAATAATTTGAGGAATCAGCAAAAAAATCAAATAGTTGCTAGGCAACGGTGACAATAACACAATTCTATATTTCAATGCTATGGATTTTGATTTTGTATTTAAAACGCATTCATGTTTTAAGTAAGTAAGCGGACAGCTGATTTTGCGGCCCCGGCCTGTAAAATTCTGCTCGGTCCCCAAATTGGCGACAGCTGGCATGGCCAGCAAAACGTAACTTTCAGCCACCAATTGACGTATGTAATACAGCCAAAAACATCATAGTGTGGTGAAAATAAAAGAAATCTATTTTAATGCTATGGATACTGTTTGTGTAATTAATATGCAAGCGGACAGCTGATTTTGCGGCCCCGGTATGTAAAAACTGCTCGGTCTCCAAATTACGATGACAGCTGGCATGGCCAGCAAAACGTAACTTTCAGCCACCAATTAACGTATGTAATACAGCCAAAAACATCATAGTGTGGTGAAAAATGTTTTTTTTTTTCGAAATAGAGCCTTCAAAATTGAGACATCTTTTTTTCTGAGACATTTTTATCAATATATATGCTCACAATCTTCAGAATAAAACTAATTATAACATTTTGTCTTACAACCTTGAAACGCACGCAAAGGTTGTTCAAGCGTTTCCGACGGAGAAACGGTTAAAGTAGGATTATCTTGGTTCATAAATCATTGGGAACAATAACTTCAGGTATTGCTGTAAGTGGTTGAAGGTCGGAGTATTAAAGTTGTGCTTAGAAACTGACAAAGAGTCATCCAAATATAAAACCCAAAGTACCCATGAACTTTTGAGAAAACTACAAGTCACACCCCCATAAACCACATACTTAAAATGTTCGTCATAACGAGAAACCTTTGCGCAAAACTATCCCATCATTTCATAAATTGCCTTTTAAGGTCGTAATTCCTTTCTAAAGGGAACTTTCCATACACCTAACGTAAAAAATACCAAAGCTGCACTTATTTGGATGTTTTTCTTTCAATTTATTACCATATTAAAATCAGGTGTGATTATTTGTTTGTATTACTGTATTCTGTTTTGTTTATTTCAGCTTAACTTAACCAATTAATAGTTTTGATACTTATGAAGTCAAACGGGGTGAAACCTATGGGTAACAGCTAGTTTTTATTAACTCGAGTTTTTAGGGACTGCTTGAGGTTTACTGGATTTCGGTTTCTGTGTTTTACGCTGATTGTATGAAAATTAGGAAAACCCCCCAAATGTAGTTTATTGAGATAAAATATTATTTTGAATCATCTTGAGTAGGTCTACTCACCAGTATATGTATACTATAGGTACACAAGAAGCCTATCACCAAGGTACCTATGGTTCCCACCATATACCCTGCGTTGTGGAAGGCATTAGGCATTGCAAGAATACCAGTGCCTAAACTGGCTTTTAGCATGTGGAACAGTGTCTCTGAAAACCTGCAAGAAAACAGGTACGTCAGTTACCAACAATTATCAAAAGAAGATTGTTGCAAAATATACAGAATATCTTATGATAGTAATAGTCATTTTTAAGCAACTCAAACAGCTTGGATGCATAGCTGATATAGATTTGAAAACAATATATACCAAGTCAAATATTTAAAAAAAAAAACTAAAAAGTCTTATAACTTGGCAGACCAAATAAGAAAAATCTTGCACAAACTATATCGGTTTCTTATTCTTTCCTAAAAAGCATTGAACAGAAAAATGTAACGTTAAAAGATTAAAGCCAACGTTATTCAAATTAATTTGTTTATTCTTTCGGTTCTTTATTTTCATTTTATCAAAATCTTTAACCTCTAGCCAAATAGTTTGCCACAGATACCAACAATAGCGTGGCAAATAATTTTGCTACGGTTGAATATCATAGTACTTTAGTTGAAAACTAATTTTCAAAAATATATTAATTAAAATAGTTATTTAATTTGAATATTTAATTATTCTAGGTGAACATTCAATGAAATTGTATAAAAGTTAAGTACGAGTGACGTTTTAAATTGAATCTAAAATCTGTCTTCACGCTGTTGATGTTTTTCTCCTGAGAAAATTCTGTTGTTAATCGACCTTCTTATACAACTCACTACTCATTAATTTTTCTAATTTCCCTTTTTCAAAATTGTATAATTGATGGGCGAATAAAACATTTTATAGAATACAATAATGTACCATTTATGTTAAACATAAATAAAAAGTTAGTATCCTATAAAGAAGGATAAATTATTTGCAGCAGCAAAATTTGCATATTACTCGATTAAAATTCTTTATTCAAGCACTAGCAACAATACCAAAATACAATCATTAGAGCATATTTCCTCAGAAGTGTATCTAAATAAATACGTTATATTGAATATTCAAATTATGATCATTTGCTTAACTCCCTAAGCTAAGCTTGGCTCTAAGCCCTTAACACTCTTACTTGACTGAGGCAGTGATAAATTAGCGCCTTTTGTCAAGAAGACAAAAAATAAAATACTTGTTTTGATTTCAAACCTTGCTGAAATTTGTTGTATCAGTTTTCAATATGATTGATAACTTTAATGCTTTAAACGCATCTCTATAATAATTTTTTTCTTATTTTATAAGAATCTATAAATAAAAATAATATTGGTTTTTTTCTTTTCCGAGTAGGTTTGGCTCTTCTACCCAACCCATTTTAATGATTTTGGTCTTAAATTAAAGGTACGCACGCACAGCATTGCTATCAAGCATCAGCATTAATTTATCTACTGTATTACTCCAAAAACAAAAAACAAAAATTTTATTTTTTATTCATAGTTCAGTTAAAGATGTATTTCACAATTTCTAATTATATTCATCCTATATCTTTTGGTCTAAGAACCTTCAGTGAAATACTAGCTTTCATTTCAACTATTGATTAAGATTAGACGTACCTGAAACACGCTGCTGAATTACGAATAAACAATAATTATAACTATTTTAGGCCTTATCTGCAATCAATTATACGGAACTCAATTTTTATTTAAGTTGTTGTTTAGACCCTCAGCAACAAGTACTACATGCAAATTGTGTACCGAAGCTCTAATTATACCTTCCGGGATTTAGACGTTCAGCGACTGATCCATTTTATATATCTTGGTCTTAAAATACTCCTAAAAATATAAAGGCTTTCATTTGAAATATTGAACCTGTGAATCAGTTAAGATCAAGATGCTACATTTCTCAATCAAAAAAGATATTTCAACGCGGGGCTGCACAGGGTCCTCTAGTATCATTTTAAAAGTACTTTGTTGGATAAAAATTTTACGAAGCTTTAAAAAACTAATTTTACTGGGCTACTTCAACTTACGTCGTGGCATGCTTCACTTTTCTATTATCGTAAGGTTCGTAGTGGTCTTCTTTGGGTGGTTTTTCAGCATTTCTTGGTACAACGTATACATTTGACAGTGCTTCTTTTTCTTTGCTATAGCTGGAAAAATTTAACATAATAAGTATTTAAAGTTTTTGATACGTTCTTACATTGTAAATATTTGGAAACATAGTCATTTAAAATTTTTGTCAGTAGAATTCTTTGGTTTGCAAATATTTTTACAAAAAACCTTTTTTGCAAAGAGTCGTTGAATCTTTGCTAAAGCTTTGGGTACAAAGAGAAATGGATATTATAATTTTTTAAGTAATCTGAGCCTTTTTACTAGAAGAGTCTACAACCTAATCTTAAACACTTGAAACATATGTAATGTCATCGTCTCAAGAAGCAGACAGAAGACTTATCTAGATCCACTCAAGTTGAACAATGTAATAAAATTGTGAACAATCTCGAATTCTTTCGTTTATCTTGTTTAAACTTAAAACTGATTGTTTCAGAATACGTTTCAATGTAAATCAAAATGTGTATTGCATATTTATCCGATTGATAAATCAAATCATTATCATAATAAATCATTATCAACATACCTTTTCCCTTCCGAATAAGGAGGTGGCGCCAGAGAAGTTTTGGAACCTAGGATTAAACCCGGATTGTCATAAGCAACCTGAAACAAAAAATACAACAATTATTTACAAAAACACACACACAAAAACATAAAAACACACACAAAAACAAACAAAAGAACACACAACAAATTTTAACTTTAGTTTTCTTTGAGAATTAAATAAAAATGTTAATTAAAGTGCGCTAACTAAGCTTTCCTATATCTATCAAGAAAATATAACTTCCTCACAACTACTGCACCCTACACTACCCAAATTAAGTAATTTATTTACTAAAGAGAAGCTAATTTAAAATTGAAATTTAATTAGATAACAAAGAATTATAGGGTTCCAACAATCTTACGTATGTTACAACTAAGGTCAAATTAAAAAAAGATACAACCGGAGATTTTTCTTTAGCTTAGATCGTATGTATGGCATGTTAATTTCTTTATTCATAGACCAATGACACTGAAATTTCGCAACTTACATTTATCGTTTCATAAATCGTAGGTTTAAGCTATAAACGAAATTCTGTAAAAACTTAAAAATAAACATAAAGTATGGCTGTCATGTCATCCAACCCTTCTAAAATATTTAATTTGTAAAATTGAAGGCTACTGTCAATTGATTTGTAATGGCAATCAATGTAAAAAGCAGGCTTTGCTAGTAAATAAGGCATTCAAGCCACCCAGGCTGAAATTGTACTTTGCTTATATTTTTGCTATTTGGAAAAACACGATAATACAATGCAATATATTGATTATTTTGGTCAGAATGCAATATACATTGGTTTAAATATATTTTACTATACCTTTTGTCCTTGCAGTAATGCTAAATAAAACTTTATTAGCCGGTTTAAGTTGGCTTGACCGGCTGTTATTGTTTCTGGTTAGGATATTACATTCGCAAATTACCCAGGGTTACATAATACGCAAGGAAGGGAGAGTGGTAAGCCTTGAAATCATCCTTGAACGCATGTCTGATTTTGTTTTATTGTTATGTTTTCTTATTTCAAAAGCGCTCCAAGAATTCTTACAATTCATCTATTGTTTAAAGTACAAGAAGTTGAAAAATTAAAGTTAATGATTAATACATTGTCTTCACTATTATTAAAAATTCCATTTGTTTGCTTTTATACGACTGGAGTGCATAGTTTTAGTCAATAATGAGTGAAGTTTAAGCTTAGAATGCTTGAAAGGTTTAATGTTCCGTCTTTGTATGTCATGAAAGGGCTTAAAACAAGTTTTTTGGCAGAAACGTTTTTGGTAAATTATCTCCATTCATACTTGGCTTAAAATACCTACTTTGTATGGTCACTATTTAATAAGAAAGTATTAAAGTATTAAACTTTATTTTGTATACTAGTTTCTTTACAATACAAAATGTTTAAGTTTTCTTTGTTACGATGTTTTAGGTTACATTTTTGCCAATTATTTGAAGGGATCGTGCATAAGTATGATTATCAATTGCTGTGAGTTTTGTTTTTAGTTTAGTGTCCACTTTTACTCTAAGACAATAATAGCTCGTAAAGCAGAGGTGAAAGCTGCTGTACTAGTAAGACAAAACAATCGTAAATGAAGACATATTTGTAAGGTTGTGTTGCAATATGGGAAATGTCTTAACAATGCTCATAGGGTACTAGTTACTAGACTAGGGTATTATATAACATACAACGGTACTTTCCTGTTAAAGGTAACATTCATTATTATCGATCTGATTTTTTTCGATATATCGATATTCTATTTTTGATCCGATAGTGAACGAGATGTCAGCTGACAAATACGATAAGTAAATATTGTTCATTATCAACAAACAATTTTAAAATATTATATTGAAACGAAAATGTTCTAAACTAACCTTACCTAACCAACCAAACTTGCTGTAAAATTTCCAAATTCCGTTTCATACTCGCATGCCTTTTCTGTTATCAAACGAAATTTTGAAATGATACAGTAAACCCAGCAAGTTTGGTTGGTTATGTTAGGTTAGTTTAGAACAGTTTTACTTATTTATGTTTTGCCTAAACAAGATCAGTTGTCAATTTGTAATATACATGTGTTTGAAGATATTAAAACAGAAGGTATGGATCGTAAAGGAAAACCAAAATATCGATATATCGAAAGAAATCAGATCGATAATAATGAATGTTCCCTTTAACAGGAAAGTACCCATACAACTTTTAACTTACAGGGTGTTCAACTACAAATTTATCAAAACGTAACACAACCTATGATGAACCATCTAGATATCAGGATATACTATACTGATGTCGTTTTGTTTACAAAATGTTTATGTTTATGTATTTAAACATAAATCCTGTTTTATCCGTAGTTTTCATTAACTATTCATCGTATTAAAATGCTAACAAAAAAGGAAGCAAAGCCACAAGGGTGAATTTTTTAATCGAAACACACATACGGGGTAAATTCTGACTTTAGATCCCATTTTATTGGGCCATCAATTAACGTTATTATCTAACAAAATGTAATTTTTTTCCTAGGACGCTATCCTCTAGCCAGGATTTTTTTCACATTACTTCAGGCTAAACCTAGGGATCGTGGCATTATTATGTAATTAGGTAAAATCCGTTAGTGATTTGACAGATTTGAATTTGTTACTTAGGAGACTGAACCCGCACTCTACCTACAATCTTGCTCCCACAAGTGACTACACAACCATTATGGACCTTATGTAAACCGTCAAAAACAACCAAGTTAAAATGTACAAAATAAATACAAATTGACAAAAAATACAGCAAAAAAGTCTACTTCTTACTTACTTAACAATTTTACAAATAAATATATGTTATTCTTTAGTGAATTCTATCCCTTATTTACTAACCTTTTCTGGTTTGTTGGTGTGAAGCGTCTTTTGGTCCATTTCCGCCGATCGAGATACAGATTGTCGAGTTTGGGTCCGTGGTAGAAGATATACAGCCTCCCAGTGATATCAAGTAGTCTCTGACAGCTCTGAAAGCAAGGTTTATGCATTAGTCATGACCCAATTTGACAGGTAACTTTCCGATTGTTGAGATAAAAGTGGGAAAAGTACTTTGATTGTCGTCGATGGTACTTTGGGTGACATTGACCTCGGAAGTAATAGGCTGCCCTTTTGTCTCACAATTGATGTAGTTAACCGAAATTTTTTGTGAAAGATTCTTTTAAAAAAATTTTCACATTGCTATTAATTTTAGGGGTCGAAATAAAGTACCTACATAAGTCTTACTTAGGTAGGTGTCACTGTTTAACATTTTACATAAACCTCACATGTTTGTTTATGAGTAGATTTATAAATATGTATCTCTATCTCATACTCCAACGTACAATTGTCAAAAAATTCCCTATTTCAGTAGTTTGTGAAGTGGTTTAGGCTTTTCACGTAATTTATTGATAACTTTTCCTAAAAATGAAAAATACCCCCGCCGCAGCAAACCTGCCGTCTAAGCGAATTTCCATTCAGATGAATTGATTTTCAATTGATCTATTTAAATAACATTAGGTTTAACGAGTACCTAGGTTTGCTGCTACAAGGAAACTAATAAAGTGTGTGTTTTAAGTAAAATAATTATTGCTTAGTATAAAATGAATATATTTGCCAAGTTTGATCAAAAGATATCCATAAACAAGCAAACTACAACATTTTACAATATTCTCCATAAGAATAACATGGGAATTTTAAATTTAAATTTTTTTAAGTTTTCTCCGTAACCAATAACCGTACAAAAACACTTTGATATACTGAATTGTTTGTTTTTTTAAGCTCTTTAAGAAGGTTTAGAGAAAAATTGAAAAATTTTGTGTTTTGAGGGTCAAAAGTGAGAAAAACCAATTTTTACCCCATAAAACCCCCCATAAAATCCTGTTCCCATGGTCCGATCATGCTGGATCGCGAACTCATTCAAGTTTATCCCGCCTTACACCTTCAAACCAAATTTCATCAAAATCGAATAAAAATTACTCAAGTTATCGTGTTCACGGACATATATATATATAAATCTATATATATATATATATCTATATATATATACATATATAAAAATTTGAACGAATGGTGTTTTTGGCCTCTGGGGACATCAAAATGAAAAAGTAAATCGGTCCCGGGCCTAAGTCTTACCATGAGACCTACGGTAATAGCTACTTCCCTATAGGGAAATTCGCTAAAAGGCAAATTCTTGGGGCCATCAAAAATTGAAAATATTATATCACTGTCCATTGGACGTATTTCTAGACACGAATGACACGCGTACAAATGCAAATTTGCAATTAAACTCATGTATTTTATTAAATAGTTACAAATAAATCCACCCGTCAATCTTCAAAAAGAAAATATCAAAACGATAAAAAATAATAACATTATTTCGTTGAAAATGCTAAATACTCGAGAGCATTGGGTTCGTTTTTTTATTGGTTATTTAATTGATAATACTACATCAAAGCTTTGAAATTCGCTAGTATCCCTTTTTATCAAATAGTACTTGGGTACCAAACCTTCATGTGGTATAGTTTATTTCCATTATACCCCTATATCGAGTAATCTTCAGTGAAATCTTTCTTTACTCAATTAATTGTAACAACTTATGTTTTATTCCCTTTGTACTGTATTTTGTAATTTGCTAGTATACTGTAAATATGGCTTGTTATACACATGTTACAAGTCTTTTACTTTTTCCTTGTTATTATTTTGTTCAAGAAAATGGTTACTTGGCAAGCCATAAGGTTAATGATAAAAATTGTGACTTTCAATTATTTTTTTTTTTTACGTGATTTGTGTTGATTTCAACTCCAGTAAACACATTTTTAGGCCAGATATTAGTTATTTCCAACAATTTAAGGAAATCGACGAAGCCATTTTCGAGATCTTTGGGCAAGCATACATACACCCAAGCAAACATTGCTCATATAAGAGTATTATAGGCTGACACATATTTCACTAAAAGGAGGTCTTGATAAACACATAGTCCGAACACAGTTATACAATCGTACCTGTTACATGTACAAAGCACCAATTAAGTCACGAGATAAAATGCAATCATGTCAAATGAAAACTTCAGTAAATACCCGATAAGCTACCTGGTAGCATCAGAAAGGAAACTATCGGAAAATGTCACGTTAAAGCATCGAGTATTACCGAACAACACGTGGAGCGAGGATACAAGTTGTACTGACAATTAAAACGTTTTTACACCTTTTGTCTGATACGGTGTAAAGATGTATAACAATGTCAATGGTTATAAAACAAATGGATTATAAACAAAGCCATAACATAGCCTCATAAAACTAACGAGTTTAAAAAACGCCAACGCCATGTTTGTACATAAAATCGTCCGTCAGGTAGACATAGTATTGTTACACGAAAAGTTACTCCAAGAGTTAGGAATCAAAATATGAAGATGTAGAGAGATTCAAAAGAATTTACAGGATAAAGTAGTTTGGGAACAAGGAAGTTTTCACTGTTCATAACGGTACATCAAAATTAATGAGTACATCCAAAATTTGAGAGAGACCTATAACATCAAGGCTGTCATCCTCATGCGAATAGGTACAACAAAATTTACGAATCAAATATTTAAAGACGTCCCTAAATGAAGGTTGTGCCTATTTAGCAAAAAGGAACATTACCCTGGACAATATTTTAGGCATGGAAAGATTGTTTATTATTCTTTGTAGAGGTACAATGTCAACAAGGTTTTCCTGGAAAGACTGCAGTAGGTCGCACCTACGCTACAATTACTTAGGCCTGCTCTAGGTTTTACATTCCGAACTCATCCTGTCTTCCTACGGTCTAATTAGTTTCCTACGTCGACGACAACAGCTGAATTGTTGAGTCCGTTACTGGCAACTGAACCACGTGTTTTATTATTCATGTAGTTTCAACTACGTTATGTTAGTTTCATTATGATCTGGAATTGAAAACATATGACTACTCTTAATCTTTGAGGTGAATTAATGGCACTTACTGAAAAACAGCTGGTCTTAGTCAGCAAAATGTTCTACACAATGCATTTCACTCCATGTAACAACAATAATAACGTGGTTTTGTTAAATCCAGGAACTGAGTTTGGTAATTATTGTTATCAAAATCACATTGATCAAAATATTCAGATTTTTATTTTAGAGGAATACGCAACAAAACACAAAACTTTTTGATCGAATTTTGCAGTAAGGTGTCTATACATTGACGTATGTGAACCCATATTATGTCACTTTTGTACTCAGTATACTAAATGCAACTCGTTTAATAATTTCTGAAACTATTTGATTTAATCCCTAGTATTTATTTGCAGTATTATTTCTTGGATAAAATTCAGTTGCATTCATTATCCTCATTTTACTGTCCGGCAAACTTGTTTTTCTGCTTCATAGCATTCAAATTAACGCTTCGTCAACTACCCTGACCTTCTCTTGACTTCCTGAGTAAGATACTTTCAAACCTCCTTTCAAACAGTTCAAAATAAGGAATAAAAGCCCTCCTTTTGTAAGGAGATCCAAGTAAGTGTAATTCAGATGACTGAAATCTCATCTCCAAGGGCATATTTCACACCAATTATCAGCGCTTAGAGAGCAAGCCTCTTGAAAGGCGGAGATTGCGTCATTAGATAGTGAAACTAGCTCTAGGACAAATCTGACCTAGAAATAGAGGGATTGGAGACAGTGGCAGGCTTAGTGATACACGACACGAAATGTTATCCAGGTAAGTAACCGTTATCCAGGTAAGTAACAGTTATCCAGGTAAGTAACCGTTATCCATGTAATTAATCGTTATCCAGGTAAGTAACCGTTATCCAGGTAAGTAACCATTATCCAGGTAAGAAAACCGTTATCCAGGTAAGTAACCGTTATCCAGGTAAGTAACCGTTATCCAGGTAAGTAACCATTATCCAGGTAAGAAAACCGTTATCCAGGTAAGCAACCGTTATCCAGGTAAGTAACCGTTATCTAGGTAAGTAACCGTTATCCAAGTAAGTAACCGTTATCCAAGTAAGTAACAGTTACCCAGGTAAGTAACCGCTATCCAGGTAAGTAACCGATTGCCTTACGGTTACCTTCTCTTTTCATTCTGTTTACAAGTAGTTTTTGATTTGTGGTGTTTTCACTTTCGTAATGCTTTATGGGAGAGTTCTCCAATGCATAGAAAGTTCTCCTGGTATGAAATATCGATCAAAAGTTCATGAAGTTCTTTCCGGTATCAAAGAGTTTATGGTCGGAAAGCCATTGGTAACTAGTGGGACTTGAACCTGTGGATTCAGCACAAAACTCTCACACTCATCGGCACAATTTAATTGTTTTTCTGATAAAAAATAAGCTGAATAGATTAATTTTGTTAACAAGTCAAATGTAATTAAACTAAAAGGTGTGCATCGAGTTTTTTTATTTCAACGAGCGACTAAGTATACTATTTTTAGGTAACTTTTTTCTAGATGAATGGCTTAGCTGAGTGGTTATAGTGCTCGTCTAACAATCAAAATAAAAAAGTCGCCGTTCCGATCTTGAGAAAAGTCAGTAGTTTTTTTTATGGTTTGAAACCGGACCCAGCTGTTCCTGATCACTGGACTTTGAATAAAAGGTCCTGACTAATGAAAGCTGATCTTATTCAGTAACAAAGCTACACAGATTATCTCACAACATTCTACACTAATCCTTCACTCTAGAGTGGAACCTCTATACGCACCTAGTTGACGTCCGAATCCCAAATAATTGATTGATTCGTATAAATCATACACTATCAATTATTTACTATCATAAAATACTTCTTTCATAATTTACAAGTAACAGGTTCTTCAAAAAAATAACATGTAACTACTACTTAGGATTCTTCAAACACTCGTACAATAAGCTGGTTTTTGAGTCGGCATTGAGCATTGTCTCGTAGCTCTGAGATGGCATAGAAAGATGTCCTTTGCATTTTAATTTTCAGCCTCTTCCCTATCACCTTGATCCCACCACGCTGTCAGACATGGGATAACCCTTGG